GCAACTGCAATACTAACTTGTCAAGACAGAAGCCATCCAAGTTTATTACTAATCATTATCCAAATTTGCATCCATAATCTCCCTTAAAGATTCTACAAAGGTTACTCTGTATACTTGTTAGGTTCACGCAGCAAGAAGCTGCAAAAGGTTTTTTTAAATAAATAGACTAGGATATTGTTTCTCAAATATGCAGAAGTAATGAGTGGGACACAACTCTCATCCCCAAATGACAAAAGAGCCCTCAAGAGAGAGAAAATGGCAGAGAATGAAGGCAAATTGAAGCCTCCAAGAGCATTTTGGCAGAGCATTTCCTGTAATCCATGGGACCAGAGCAGCCTGTGAGAGGTCTGGGCTTTAGAGTCAAGATAAAATAAAACAATGTTATGTGCTAGATAGTTCTCACACATTATTTGGGTGTATTTTTTGGCTTGAGCTTAGAGGAAGACTATTCATATACTGGTAAGTACTGCTTCAGCCTGTTAGCACTCATTCATTATTTGGATGTGTTTCTTGACTGCGGCTTGTGGAAAGATTAGTGGCAAACATTGCTTCCTCTCTAATTTGCTATCAATTATTATTTTACAATATTTACAATATATAGCTATATTGTCAACATGTTATTTACAATAATTTTTATTTTACAATATTTACAACATAGAACAGTATTGTCAACAATATTGTTGCAATGTTTCATGTACTTATATTATCTTAACTGATAAATATTGTAACAGAATTGCTATAATGTATCTTCTTCTTGAAAAAAACAGTATTTTTTCCCTGACCAGATTCTTTGATAAGGTGTTTGGTGGAACCTAAGGTATGAAGTGTTAAGAACTGCTGGAATAGAACACAAACAAAAGAAAAAACTGTATATGCTTAATAAAAATCTCCTTACTTTCATAAAGAAAAGGGAAAGTGGAATCATTTTAAGAGAACAAAGATTTAAATAATTTGGATTAATTGTGTTTTTTCTCATTCTCTCCCTTGGTTCCTAAACAGATTGTACAGCTCAGGAAATATTTCAACCGTTCTAGGCACACGGCACAAAGAAAACACATTGTGGGACAGTAATTTTACTGTCTAAGGACATCTCAAAAACAGATATCATATTAAAAGTCGAGCAGAGATGATATCACTAATACTTAGGGAATACAAAGTTTCCTTATTTTATTTCCTCATTTTCACAAGCTTCAAATTGTTCCATCCCATTTCTATATCAGCTTGTGAATTTTTTAAACAACCAAACCTGCACAAAATTTTATATGTATTTTTGTGAACATTTTTGCAAGCAGTTATTTTTGAATACCGTTTTCTGTATTTTTTCCATTAAAATAAACAACCAAGTCTTTTTATGTCCTTTCACAATCCCAATTTAGTGATAACAGAAAAGGAAAAAAAGATGGTTTCCTCACTTATTCATTTGTTACAACCACATTTTGTTTCAGTTTTGAAGAGTTTCTTAATTCCTGGTTTGGGGAGGCTAGTTTGGGATCACGATTAGAGTTAGCACTAAGCCCTAATCTTTCATCCTAAACTTAGTATAAACTGGAGTTGTAGAATTCCATCTCTGTTTTAAAGAAAAAAAGCTTCCTTTGGTGTAAATGGGAACTTTCTTTCCAAATCGCAGGTTTGGGATCCTGTGATTCCAATTACAGCCATATCAGGAATGGTATGCTTAGTGAATGACAATTTTAAAAATAAACTTTATATGTTTGTGTATCTAGTTCTGTTTCTCTGCTTCCTTGTATGTCTACATAGAAACATAGATATTCATGTACCTGCCTGGAAAATAGAAGAAAGTATCAATGGGCCTTGCTGAAATGAGTCCATTTGCCTGATGATGCCAAATACTAATTGAGAACATGATATTTATAATACATGTAACTAAGAGTTATTAAAAGAAAGGAAATCACAACTTGGTTGCTAGCTAGCATTCTGTGCCATAAACAGTGGCTTCTGTAATGGTCCCAGGAGAGTATGCATTTCATTTTACAAATGCTGAATAAAATTCAAGGAAATATGACCAAAGCAGCAGCTTATCAAACATGCCTGGTTGTCCATTTATTCCACGAATATCAGGTGACTATAGATCAAAGGATACAGATCACCAAGCTATGTAGAAATATTCAAGGGGACTCAGAGGAGGAGACATATATCTCAAACATTCTTTTTAGAGCTCAGTCTTTCTCAAATAAATCAGCTGGAGAAAGCAAAGCAACTTTTCAAGATGATTTAAAGTTTTATTTTTAAAAAACTATTTCTTACTTAGATAGAAGAAGTTTCCAGGCAGGGAATTTTCATTTAAATTATTGTAAGTCAAATCAAGAACTTCCAGAGCTGGTAAAGAGCCAAATCCTCGTGGCAAGGTGTTGAGCCTGTTCATCCTAAGAATGAATGAAGATTGTAAATTGGCATTATTTTCGATACATAAGAAGCAGTGAGATTTCACATGGTATATGTAGTCTGTGTCAGCGTCACTATATTTTAAAAGTTTTAAAATCCATACAGAGTGTCTTTTCAATTGTGCGTTGCACAATTCCAAATAAGAAGCCAACAATACTGTAATAAAAAACCCTGATCAAATGCAAAGATACTAAGACTACAAAAAAGCAGGAAGAATCACATAAAAAGTCAAATTAGTAAATGGGCATCCTTAAAAAAAAACAACAAAAATTAGTAAGTGGCTTTGATAGACTTTCAAGATGAATGTCAGCTCTTTGCAAGGTCAGGAAATAGGGGTGGCTAAGAGTCTTGGAATGTACTTTAATGTAGTCAGGGTATTGTAGCAGAATCCTGACACCTGTCAAAGCCGCTCTCTACTTCAACTTATATCTAACACAATCAATGTGGAGCTTTCTATCTTCCCAGATCTCAAATATTCTTTTTGTAAATGTATTTGTCATTCTCTTCCCCCTTTCCTGACTCAAACCAAGATTCCATCACAGGGAGGATGGATAGATGGATAAGGGGAGATAGAGAGATGGGTATGTGGAATTTCCATCTTATTTCCATTTTGGGAAACTATAAGGTATCTACAGTGTTAAGACAGATAAAACAGTTTTGTTTTTCAGATTGATACGAAAGGTCAGAGGCTTTGCTATTTGAAAAAAACAATGTTTCTATTTCTGCACTTATTTCAGGATAAAACTGTTAGAAGATGAATAATATTCAGTAAATACTTTTCAAAACAACTAATGAAATGTTTTATTCAGAAACGATATCCTATAAAGCAACCTATTCCAATCTGGTACCCTCTAGATGTGTTGAGATTATACCACCCAGAATTCCCAGCCAGCATCAGGTTGGGAAAGGCTGCTAACCAGAGTTTAAGCAACTGACTGCAACCACTACTCACCCAAGGTTTAAGTGTTTCAGCTTCTGAAGGCTGCTGATCTGAGTTGGCAGTTCCTCAATCTGATTGTTGAAAAAATTGAGTACTTCTAAATTCCTCAGATCTGCAATATTTGGAGGCACGGCTGCAAAAAGAAAGAAAACACCCTCAAAGCAAGATAGGACACACAAATCACATCAGCCCAGTTCTACTGAATAGAAATTTTGTTTAAATTGTAAATAATAGGAAAATCAGTGAATACTAATTGTATTATCATTTTAAAGGAAAATATACCCTTGATGGACAGAAATCAACTTGCCTTTGGATTGGTAATAATTTCTGAAACTTGGCTTCATCTAGAATTATCTATGTCCTCAAATAACTAAATGATTTTGCATCTAATTTGGCAGAAGGAATAACAGACTATCCCCACGTGTATCTAACCACAGCACAAACCTGCTTTGGCAACACCTTCTTCCAGCATTGTTCCCATGGTATTTTATTTAGTTTGCTCCTAGCCATAAGACAGTTTTAAGTCATCATTACTTGCATCAGTTTTATTGTTAAGTGACAGTACTTTTACACCACCTGGCTCAATCATGACTCCTGACAGTTTATATAAAACACAGAAATACAGAAACACCAAGAGAATACAGAAAACAGAAATGAAAAGAAAAACAATTGCTCTCATGATCAGCAATTCTACTAAACTCTGAATGCTTGTTCAAACAAAAGAGTTTTCACTAACTTGCAGAAGGCTGGAAGGAAAGGGGGACAGGCAAACTTCAGGGGGCAAGGTATTCTAAACATGGGGACTGTACTTCAGGCCCACACACCCTGAATTCTTGTGGGGAGATCCTCAGCATCCCCTTCTTGCATGCAGACAAGGACTGGACAGATTCTACCTGGATGAGACAGCCCTAAGGCACTCTAAAGCATGTTACAGTAATCTAATCATGTGGTGACGAGGGTGTGAGTCATAGCTACCAAGACTTCTTGGTCCATGTAAAGCTCAACTGATATAGGTGAGTTATCAAATATGAAGCCAATAGGAGTACAAAAATAATAATTGAATGTTTTAAGCGTTATTCAACTATACTTTGAGACAGCTTACATTATAAGATAGTAGTGCACAACTCTCTTTCAGTCAAGGATCTGACCTTTGAAGAGTGCTCCAGGACTTGCACTTCAAAACTAGCAGGGGCAGGGGAACTCTACATTTGATCTCATTCATTTTAAACATAAGTTTAATCAACATGGATTATTTACTTTATTTAAATACATTTATTATTTACTTTAATATTATTTACAATATTTACTTCTGCAATACTTCAAACCTCAATTTGGTAGCAGCTTTAAGCGGGACTCTGGGGGCTACAGCCAAGGTTTTAGGGGACTCCATGTGCTCCTGAAGTCTCCAACTGTGCACTTCTGTTATGATAAACATGCCTCCCAAAACTCTTAATGTCCTGGCAGGCTGTAGCTTCCTGATGAATGCACAATGTTTAGGAACAGATACCTGTACTGCATTCTTTACTTGGCAGCTGATATTTCATCAAACGAGAAGTACGTAAAGGAAGTAACTCTGTTCTATCGTCTTTTGAAAGACCAGTTGGCTTTGGCTTGTCTTAAGTGCTACCAAGAAGTAGTTATCCTGCCCCATCAAACTACCAGAACTACTTCTATCTCAGCTAGTGTTCTAAGAACTGGAGCCTAAACATGCTTTTTCTTTCCTTTTATGCTCTGTTTTTCAGAATTTAAACTTGAGGGGTTATTTTATTTCTCCTGCAGGAAATACAACTGTAATATCAAATGACTATTCCAAATGATATGCAATTGGACTAAATTGAAAATTCAGATAAACTAAATCTTCAGTTAAACTTTGGCTATCAACTTGAAATAAATAATACACTAATCAAGCCAGGCCACTTTTGAGGCACTTCTGAGGAAGACAGTATTGTGATCAATACTCACAAAAAAGATTACATCAGATTAGCAACAAATCAATGTCTAGCTATTATCTAGAAATATGAAAAAAGCCCTGATGCATGATATGAATACTACAGTTCAGATAAAGATTTAAACTCTCTATTGGTTTAATTTTCTCTTTCATTTATTAAAGCAAAATCTAAGCAACCAAATAATATTTATGGATTGGGAGGTGATCACATCTGATCAGGCTTTCTCCTGTATTTTCATATTTAAGAATTCAAGTAGAAGTACACTATATCTGAATAAATTGCGAAAGTAGCAGCAGATAACAGGATCGGAGTAATTTTTGTCTTGGTGCAGAAGTGTTGGACCTGAGTAGAACTTTAATGGAAAACATCCAGGGAATATCAAGGCTGTAGGCTAAACTGGGAAGTTGAAAAAACATCCTCGAGAGAACAAGTTGTACTGCCTAGTCATGATGAGTTTAACTCAATTTGAAGGAGATCTTATTTTGTTTTGGGGAAAATACCTGAAAGCATAAAGGTTGATCTTATATCCTTATGCCAGAAATGAAAGCTGTTTCTGTATAGCAGAATATGAAACTTCTATTTGCTTGAATTATCATGTTATAATGTGTTGAAAGGTAAGTTCCAACATACACTTCAGCAAAACCCACACTCATAACATCTGAAGACAATTGCTATTGCCAATTGCAATACAACTATACAACTTAAGAATCTAAGCGTCCTGATGTATCTGGCCAAAGACTAATTTTTCTGCCTTCTGGCTAAATGGATGCCCCTGTAAAGCTCATAAGAGATAAAGCAGTAGTTGTATGCACTGTTATTCCTTAGCAACTAGTATTTAAGGCATACTGACTCTGATTCTGGAGACAATATACAGCATTAAAAATAATAGCTATTGATAATCTAATCCTCCTTGATTTTGTCTAATCCTCTTTTAAAAACCATTACAATTTTACCATCATTACATCTGTGGCAGCAAATTCCATACTGATCCCAAATCTTTTCACATTTACCTCATTCAATAACCACAAGTTTTAACATTGTGGATAGAGAACATTTTTCTTCTTTTTCACAATTTCCACATCATTTGAATTGGATTAAATACTACCAAGACAGAACTGCTTGTTGTCAGTAGACAGGAGGGCAATCTAGTTATGCTGGTCTTTAAAGTAACTCCGGACAATGGAGTCTGGGGTCATGTTACCCACAAAGGATTTGGTTCATGACTAGAGGTTCTCCTGGACTTTTGGCTTTTGCTAAAAGAGCAGGTGGAAGCTGTGGCCAGGGGAGACTTTGCCCATCATTGTCTGATGCCCCAGTTATAACCCTACATGGACCAAAATAACCTGGCAACAATAGGTCATGTCTTCATCACTACTTGATGGTCTACACAGGGTTGTCGTGGGTCCTTCCTTTTTGAGAAATACATGAGAGATGGATGAAATGGATTCCTCAGTAGTTCCGCCCCCACGAAATATCTCCCTCAGAGATACAGAGGGCCCCTACCCTATTGGTGTTCCATAAACTAGCCAAAGCAGTGCCATCTCAGTGAGTGTTTAGCCCTTAGGGTAGTTTGAGTAATAGGGCACCTTTGAAAGCTTATCTATTGTTTATTAGTTTTTTAAGTACTGTAGTCATGTGCTGTACTTTTTTTTTTCTTTGTATAATCCTGTTACATCCTAACCAGAGTCTCTGTTGATTAGGGCAGACTATAGTAGATAGATAGTTGATAGACAGACAGACAGACAGAGAATTTATAAACCACTGAGACCAGCTTTTCTAGAAATTGGCTAACATTATATTACACATATCAGGCAAAACACATACGATCTAGCCAGGTTGCATCCAAAAAAAAAAAACGGGATTATGATTCTAAACTTGAAATTCCTTGTACATAAAAATAATTAATAACCAGTATGGGCATGACAAATTTAATTGAGGCAATGATGCATGGAGATTTTTAAGCCTCTACTGTGTTCCCAAAGAAAATTCCTTCTTTGGTGCCACTAGCAGTTTTACTCCCATATCTAATAGCAATTTCAAAGGGGATATTTTTTGCTCTACTATGAATCAGGACATAGTAGAAAAGCATTAATGTAAGTCTTGTTTTATATCACTCTGGGAAATAAAAGATAGTTTAGAAATCTTTTAAATAAATAAAACATAATGACCCACATACATTTTCGGTAATCTGTGCCAGGAATACAAAGAAAAAAAGGAAAAGGCTCTGAGAAACGTTTCGCTGCAGTCCAAGAACAAAAGCTACACCTTTCTTGAAGTTACAGTCCCCAATACAATTAAACTTGTTTCTGCAGATATTGGTCTTTTTGATAAGATAAAGGATTA